ATTTAAGAAGTCTTTACAGTACTAGCAGGAAGTAAGCGAAGCATGTCCCCAGTCATAGCTTCGAAGTCAGATCGAGACACATATAAAATACGTTCTATTACCTTACTGGGATAATCCACATTTTGTAAATCGATAAACATTATCAAAATATTTTTTTAATACAACCGCTAAACCCCGTTTATGAATGAAAACAAGAATGTTTATGAATTAAGATTAATTAATTGAATTAAGAATGATTATGAATTGTCGCATTAAGATCTTCCTATATTAAGAAAAAATCCGACATATAGTGAAATTGATCATAGAAGTAATACAGAGTGCCACTTATATTGATATTGTGCCTATTTTAACATTAAAATCAAGAGTAAATCAGACAAATTTAACGCAAGTATTGTACAATTGTATAAATGATTTCACAGTAGAAAGTGTAATGTGGAATTATGTAATGTGAATAATGTGGAATTCATTGCAGGTGTTAGTGTTGGAAGTTACAACATCGCAGCCTCTTGCTAGACGCGGATACAAACTTGGACCTCCCTCCAGGGTAAGGTGAGTCGCAACTACTACAGCTCACAACTCTCCATACTTTTTAAATAAATAACTTGAAGGCGGGCTGTTGACCTCTTGCATGTGACTTCACGCGCATGTCTGATGGGATCAAATGACGCTGTCTATATTGTGTTCATGCGTCAGTTTATTAACATCTGACACTGCAGACATTTTCACGCGCGTCGTTTGACCTCAAACGTGACGTCTGAGTAAGGGTCTGAACACTTGGTAATTATAGTGACTTTTTTTAAGTTATTAATTTCCTATTCCTCCTTTACAGGTAAGTGTAATACTGCAGCTCATAGAGAGACAATGGAACGCTAAACAGGTACGTTCATAATTTTTTTTTCGCTGTCATGTACATTTGCTTCAAATATGTGTAAAATCGAGTGTGCAAGGCAACTACCATCAGTAAAAGTGATATGTATAGGACAGGTACTGTCTTCACGGGGGAGTTGCTAAGAAGATGTCCGACAAATTTTTTCTTCCAAACGGAAGAATTTTTTTTTTTTTAAATTGCAGGAAAGTTGCTGTTACTCGAATAGCTTCTATAAATAGGTTTCTTCAACATTTGAACAGTTTTTGCACATATTTCTTCAATTATAACAACAATTATTTTGTAAACTCTAATTTAAAATTTGTACACTGTGAATACAACCTGCGAGGCTTGTTTATCAAATCCCCTAGTGGATAACTAGTTTCATCAGTTTATCAGTCTTAATCAGAGAGGAGAGTGGTCAGGGTATATCACCTAAAGATCTAATTCTCAGTATATATACCTAAAATTCACTTTAATTCGTAGCTCAGTAGGAATAAAATTATATTTGAAGGTTAGACAAAAGGCATATCGGCGCTTCAATGTTGTAGCAGTTGACATGCATATCTTAGCATCTAACTACTATATACTACATACCACACGACGGCATGGAACGGAACGGCCGACCGTTCCATTCTCTCTTTAATCTTGGAAGGTTATAATGTGAGAGGACCCATGTCAGGACTGTATCCTAGCACTGTGGTCAAGAAACATTAGTTTTCCGTAGCCGGGGGGTAGTGAGCGTGTTATTAATGCAACCACCAACAATTGTCTATTTACTGCTAAGTGAACAGTGACATCAGGTAAAGGATACGCTGCCTAAATACTATTTTTAATATAGTGTATAATCTGTATGCATCATTGTGACTAAGTAATTTATTATCTTTATATTACTATCTAACACTTATTTGTTGTTTTAGATTAAGCTACTCTGAACGAAATGTTCATCTAGCACGGGCTATGGTGAGCCCGTAATTGAGTTTGGTTATTCGCGATAACCTTGTTACTGTGATATTTGACTCAAAGTTTGAAATGGAGGTGGGGTTTCCTCCTCTTCTCCCGTTTCTTTTTCGCTTCTGTTTTAGCGCACTGGTTTTAGTCTCTTTTTAATAACATTATCTTGGTGACGGATATAGAGGCACTATGTCCCATTCTTCAACTGCTTTTCTAACCATTGCAGTCGCTGTGGATTTTGCATCTAATGCAGCTGTTCTTGTTGGATGAATTTTGAGTTTGATGCCATTCAAGCTTTTTCGCACAAATGTTACTCACGTGGCTCTTGCATGTGAGGTGATTTCATGAAATATCTGTGCCCAATACATTTGTGTTGTTGTTTTAGATTTAGCTACTCAGAACGAAATGGTCATGTAGCACGGGCTATAGTGAGCCCGTAAATATAATGCTTCCATACACTTGTAATTGATTTATGAAGATTAAGCCACCCAAAAGGTAGCACAGGCATGAATAGCTTGTAAGTGGAGGCTCTTTGGAGTCATTGCCAGTACCAGTACCAGTAGCTGATACTGGAGATCTGTGGATGGAAGGGGTCTTCACGGTCGCTCGCAGTTCGTGGCCCGCAGGAAGCTCCGTCGTCACTATAATGGTCAAGGAGACACTTTATACCTGAACAGAACAACCTACGTAGTCTGGTACCATCAGGATCGTCGTCCTTTTCGAGGAATTGCATTTGTCCATCTGAGAATTTGGGGTGAAATTCTGGGTCGCGGTATTCATTCTTCACGTACACTTGTTTATTGTTGTTATAGATTCAGCTACTCAGAACAAAAGCTTCCAAGTAGCACGGGCTATGGTGAGCCCGTAAAAATACAGATTGATGAAGGTGTAGCCACCCAAGAGGTGGCACGGGCATGAATAGCCCGTAAGTAAACATACACTTGTGTTGTTTAAGTACCCCGCCTAGGTCAGGTGGGGTGATCCCTCCCCCCCCCCTTGAGATTCTGGGGAGGGAGAAGAGTACACGGCTTTAAGTGCTTCCCGGAAAAGCCCTACGTCGAAGACACGGCTCATTTCTTTTCTTGGAAAATCCCTCATCGATGATGTATTATTATCTGTGAAATGTAAATATTTTCTAATATCCAACGTCCGTAAATATTCCCTCCATTTTAATATTAATCTTGAAACGAGTCTCTGGGCTGTATGATTACTGAGCATCCAGGTACTTGTTAAGCTTTCCCGGCTGTCAGTCTTTGAGCAAGATGGATTTTGGATCACGAGTTGAGAGTCAAACGTGGCGAGGCTACTGGGACACCTGCCGACTATGAGCCAGCCCCGCGCGAGTAAACTCCTCGACTTTGGTAATACACACAGACACGGAAGTCTACTGGCTGTTACGAATGTCAACATTAAACAAGGCGTCACAACAGCATCACCTTGAGACTAACTGGACGTGCAGGAGGGCTGGAGAAGGAGATTATTCAGGTGATCCGAGCGAGTACGGTTTCCGCCAGCGTGTTGACGGAGATCACAGGTCGTGTGTGTCCAGCCAGACACCGTCGACTGGATTACCTCACCTTGTGTCGAGTCGTGGCAGAATAAACACCAGAAGTCTTTAATGCTCCACAATAATTCACTCATTGTTGTATTTATCTGTGTATTTATTTTATGTATCAATGAGGAACTTTGCTTATAAGACAAACATGCTGATAAGTTTTATGATTGATAAATTGCATGATATGTATTCAAACATATAATTCCAGCACAAACATTACAGTCCATCCTCCATAAATGATAGTACTTATAGTAACTATCTTGTCGTAAGTACCACTATGTAGTGATGAACCTCCAATAAACCACTCTTTGTACTATTAATTATATAATCCGAAAAAACTAAAGGTAAAACCAAACTTAAATATTCCTAGGCCTAGTACAGTACAGATATGTACTATATTAGACCTAAGATAGCCTGTATTACGACTAGAACATTGCTAAAACAGGTTAGGTTAGGTCTTATATTTATGTTGCCGTAATTCAATAATTTGTTGCCCAAATTCATTAATACAAAATTAAACTTTCTGGTGGTCCATCACTACATATGAGGACTTTCGACCAAATGGTTATTATAGTAACCATTTGGTCATATATATATACCAACATTTTAATTTTAAAATGGAATTACATTTTATACTTACATAAATTACATTATACCTACATTTTTAATTTTTAAATGGAATTTTAACCATATATATATACTTACATTCTAGGAGAATAGGCTGTCACTACACAGGGCTCCTTACGCTGACGTTTTAGAAATTGTTTTGCTTTTTGCGTGTCTTATACATTCAACGAGGACCTCCGACACGGAGAGGTTATCTTTTTGTTATGTAATATTAGGATGTAGACATTGGAACTGATTAGGCTACTCAGCGTCATGTTTCTCTAGAATACGTTTCGCCAATCGTTTTACATCCAGGTTCCCTCGTAATTGATGGGTGCACAGGGAGGGAGAGTGTCTAGTCATCCCACAGTGTTCAGTGCGTATCTTCCTCATCCAGTTCATTGTCTTAGTCTACTATCAAGCGAGACCCGTCGTGGTAACAAGCGCTCGCGCTACTCTGCGGACCACTAACACATCAGGTTACTCACATTCTAGGTCTCTCTACTCTAGCGTAGTTAGCTCAACCCTCAAGTCACACTAAGCCTCTCTCTCTCCCCCCTTCCCCTTCTCTCTCTCTCTCTCTCTCTCTCTCTCTCTCTCTCTCTCTCTCTCTCTCTCTCTCTCTCTCTCTCTCTCTCTCTCTCTCTCTCTCTCTCTCTCTCTCTCTCTCTCTCTCTCTCTCTCTCTCTCTCTCTCTCTCTCTCTCTCTCTCTCTCTCTCTCTCTCTCTCTCTCTCTCTCTCTCTCTCTCTCTCTCTCTCTCTCTCTCTCTCTCTCTCTCTCTCTCTCTCTCTCTCTCTCTCTCTCTCTCTCTCTCTCTCTCTCTCTCTCTCTCTCTCTCTCTCTCTCTCTCTCTCTCTCTCTCTCTCTCTCTCTCTCTCTCTCTCTCTCTCTCTCTCTCTCATTTAATATGGTCGTTGTGACCATATTAAGGAAATGTCAGAACAAACGATTCCTTAATGTATATCATTAAGAATCCAATAGGATATAAGCAGCAGAAGTTGGCAGGGAAATGAAACCATTTTGATTTCGATGTTTATTAAAAGTAGAGCGAGGTACACACAAGGTGGGTGTGGGATGGTCCAGGGTACAGGCCCTCACAGACTCTGGGCAAGGCTGGTGACGCGTCTAGGAGCACTACTGGCCATTCTCGCTGTTAATTCCTACGGTGTTAGGGTGACACAAGCCACTGCAGTACTCTCGCTTGGCCCTCGGGCAAACATGCGATTTTTGGCGCAGTGTTCACTCCATCATTACTTGCGTGTACTTGTACTGCTGTCATGGCGGTCACTATCACACCACCTCAACGTGTGCTTGTACTGGTGTCATGAAGGTCACTATCACACCACCTCATTACGTGCATGTGCTGGTGTCATGGAGGTCACTATCACACCACCTCAACGTGCGCTTGTAGTGACCACAGTCATGACCTGTACATGACGTGAGTTGACCCTCACAAGTACACAACCTGCTGCTGCTGCTGTCCTCTACTTCACTACTAGTTATAAGTAAACTACGTCTACAAGTGACCGTCGGCAACATATGTGCCGATGACAGGTATTCACATTAATACACTGAACCTGCACTATATAATAATCATGAAATATGTGGTTGAAACCATGAATATTTTAGTAGCCTAAACACGGAAGACTCATCATATACAAAACAACATATGAACGTACAAATCAGTACAAGAAATAAGTAATCAGAAAAATACTGCTTGCCCCGTCGGGAAACGGGACTTGATCACTTGACTAGACACATGTAAAGTACTTAAACACCCAAAATATATCAGGGAGATGTATTTCAAAACAGCACATTTCTAAATTACAATTTCTAAAACATTAAACACACTTAGCTATATGTTGGTTTTCTTTTGACATTGTTCTTGGTATAAACATGGACCCGTTGCCATCTCCACCAACACATATTTGCCATGTTCAGAATACCAACTGAAACAGCTCAGTGGAATGCGTTAACCGCCTAAGAAGGATTAATAATTTATGAAAATTATATACTAGTCTGTCCTTAAATCTATGGTCCAGGTACCGAAGAAATTGTTAGTAGTAGCATTAAAAAATTCTCATTACAATAGTTATTCAGCAAGAGGCAACGAATAGGTTCCCTGAACTGATATTACACTTAAATGTTCCTCACATTATAGTACACTTGCTAAGGTTCTTCTTCTCATACATATATTTCACTCATAATAACTTTTGATAAGTACTTAAGATCCCTTAAACGAATACTTAATTGAAGGTCATTCATCTAAATACATTTGAGATCATTCATCTAAATACATTTGAGGTCATTCATCTAAATAAATTTGAGGTCATTCATCTAAATACACTTGAGGTCATTCATCTAAATACATTTGAGGTCATTCATCTAAATACATTTAAGGTACTTCATCTGATTTAAGATGATTTCACTTAAGATCCCTCATGTAATAATACATTTTAGGTCCCTCAGCTGAAAATATATTTAGATTATCGAAATTACATGTAAGGTCTTTCCCCCTAATACTACTAATACTAAAGGCCCCTCGACTTGTATAATATAACTAGATCGTCACTAATATTAGACAAAAGGCCTGCTGGCTAAGTTTGTATGTTGAATACTCTTAGTTAAATGTACTTCTTGGTTTCCTAGTGACTGTTCTTGTAGTATTACTTTGCTGATATTCCTTGTTGAGATCCATTGATAGCATCTCATAGGATACTTTTGTTGACATTTCTTGTTGGATGCTGTAGTAGAAGGTTCTTTGGGACACTATGGTTGTTAATACTTGTAGAATCCCTTAGCTGCTTTGAGGGTAGGATCCTTCAACATATGGCACTCGCAATTCCTGCTGCCTATACATCTCTATCAAGTGTTTTTGATTGTGGTCACACTACCCAAGGCTCCTGGGTGTGGTCACACACTACCCAAGGCTCCTGGTTGTGGTCACACTACCCAAGGCTCCTGGCTATGGTCACACACTACCCAAGGCTCCTGGCTGTGGTCACACACTACCCAAGGCTCCTGGTTGTGGTCACACTACCCAAGGTTCCTGGTTGTGGTCACACACTACCCAAGGCTCCTGGCTGTGGTCACACACTACCCAAGGCTCCTGGTTGTGGTCACACACTACCCAAGGCTCCTGGTTGTGGTCACACTACCCAAGGCTCCTGGCTGTGGTCACACTACCCAAGGCTCCTGGTTGTGGTCACACTACCCAAGGCTCCTGGCTGTGGTCACACTACCCAAGGCTCCTGGTTGTGGTCACACTACCCAAGGCTCCTGGTTGTGGTCACACTACCCAAGGCTCCTGGTTGTGGTCACACTACCCAAGGCTCCTGGTTGTGGTCACACTACCCAAGGCTCCTTGTTGTGGTCACACTACCCAAGGCTCCTGGTTGAAACACAAATATCAAAGATCTGGGAAAGGATAACGTAATAAGTATTTAAGAGGGTCCGCGGGTGACAGTTCTAAATCTGGGATCTTATCTGAATGTTTGCGGTGTTCGGATGTGAGAGCCACATATGGTAGTCCTGGAAGGGGTTACGGTTAACAGTGCCAGAGTTGGGATACCTAAATGGCATCAGAAATACATGCTTCATCATGCTACAAGACCGTTGAGTCGGTGTCATAGTTGAAAACACTAAGTTTGAGGTTCTAGTTGTAGAACTGAAACTTAAGCTAACAGGCCGTTACAAAAGGAAATTAATAAGAGTTTTGTCAGCTTTAGTTACCAGCAAGGACACTCTAGAAGGATATATAATTTAAAGTACATTAATCTGGCGTCCAACTAATGATAACATTCGTTAGCATGACACCGGCTAACTGAACAAGTGGGGCTCCAGTCGTGATCTCAACTACACATCCGGAGGCATTGTTCCTAAAATCTGCTGCGGTCTCTCTCTCTTGCCAGTGTGTGAAGAGTCAACTTGATGGTTGGTTTAAACAGTTATCATCCAGGAACTTGGCTTTAAGATATGTACATATTCTCGCGACGAAAGAGAGCGAGAAGAAAAAAAAAGTTAGTAAATTCCTCAGCGGGGGAACAGTGGCCGCGCGTCAAACTTACACACAAGAGTTCTGGGCTGTTAAAGCAGGTTTTTCAATGAAGTTGTCAAATCTGGCTGCTAACAGATTTTAGTTGGAATACTCCACTAACGAGGTGTGGCTCTTTTGAAGTGGATAAAAATGGAATTATGTACTTCACATTAATCATTAAACTACTGTTCAAACTAACTTAACCCTAATTGGCACATTTTTTCTTTGTTTCATATATATATAATTGGCACGCTGTTGCTTGCTCGATATGTATATTTGGCACGACACTCTCTTGTTCCTTATGAATGTTTTGCCTCCATGCGGACAGTCCGCGTTGGTGCTGTGTCGTCTGCGCCACTTTCTCCTGAAGGTGAAGTGAGGCTAGAAGGATGTTGCTACTCGTGGGATAGTGCGTAGGCGGCCAGCTTGGCGTGGATGGTGGTGAAGGTGAGCCTGTGGGAAGGGTGAGGGCGCCAACACCCGCTCATCACCTCCTGCACCTCACGGGGACACCATGCCGGCGGACTCAACACAACCTGAAGAAGTCCAAACTTGTGAAAACCATCACAAAAAAAAACAGTGCTAGCATGAAAGAAATGGGTTCCGAAGTTCAAAAGACACGAAGTTAAATATGTGTCAGCAAGGAGTCAGTTCTACCTAATTTATTCATGCCTTTCCATCAAATGCTGAAATTCTAAGTAGAGAAAACGGTAAATAAATCCAAAGGCCAGAATAAAGAGGTACCTGTGGAGTGGCGTATTTATCAGTGGAGGAGGTGGTTGAGTGTGCGTGAGCGTGCGTGGACAGCAGGGCGTGGAAGAGGAGGTCGTCTGAGAGGTGGTGGTGCGGCCGTCGACGAGCCAGGGTCAGGATCTCCCATAGTGTCACGCCGAAGGACCACACGTCGCCGGCGGAGCTGAAGGTACCCTGTTCGGTGGGAAGGCAGTGAGACGTTATCACTTTTGGGTCTAGCTGGCGACCCAACTTGATGCTCAAGTTGTGAGCACAAGAATGAAACAACTCTCGTATATATAAATAAATAAATAAACAAGTCAGAGAAGTGTGCATGAGCTGATCATAGCAATAGAGGATATGAATTACTTTTCAATTCGAACTTACCCTTCCCTTTTTCTGACAGATCCCTTCCCCTTCACCTGGCATAACCTCTTCCATTAAGTGATAGACCCTTCCACTTTTATCTCCTAGAACCCCTCCCTCTAACCAGACACCTCCACCTCCGCCCCCGCTCACCTGACAGAGCACCTCGGGACTACACCATCGTAGGGGCGCCGGTCCACGGCCGTCAGGAGGCCTCCAGTAGTCGCTAGAATAGCGAGGCAAGGCGGACCCTACCTGCGTCACCTTGACCACGCCCACTCCGTCTGCGTCTCCTCCCACCACCACCACGTTCCTGCCGGAGAAAATCATCGTCAGCATCACAATCCTGGATACTAAAGACCTATTACTGCAATAGCCAGGCAGCTGATGTAGGCAGCGAATTATGAACAAAATCTGATGAACATATTGAGAAATAACAGTTTTTGAGCACAATGAAACGTACAGATATCGCAGATATATTCTAGGAACCTTCGTATATTACTAATTCAGAGGAACAGGTAGTCTTCAAGGAGAATTTGTAAGAAATACTGAGGGTAGACTATTCCATCTCATGAATCACAATTTAGGAAGACTGGGAAGGGAAGTGGGGACCCAGGCGTCATTCCCGGCATGCTCGCGGACCACCACAGCTCTGTTGGGACCACCACAGCTCTGTTGGGACCACCACAGCTCTGTAGGGACCACCACAGCTCTGTAGGAACCACCACAGCTCTGTTGGGACCACCACAGCTCTGTAGGGACCACCACAGCTCTGTAGGGACCACCACAGCTGTACATTTAGGCATGGCGGTGTGTCAGGTATGCACAGTGCACCTCTACCCATGGCTGATGTGTGTGCTTTACGTATTGTGCAGCTGTGACGCAGGGTGGGTCGGGGGTTACTCCACCATAGAGATTATGGCAGAAGCAAATTTAGAAGCAACAAGGTATAACTGAGAATAGTTCTCTTGTCACTATAGAAATATTGTGCATACAAAAGTTGTGTTGTAGGACAGTGAAATCCTGGTTATAATCTGTAATTTAAGTTACTCTAGATATACTGTATGAAGCGATATGCAGTACTGTATAAAGTGATGTTGTCAAATACAGTTTTGCAGCGCCTTACACCACGTTAATAACCAATGCCACCACAACACCCACATCAATGACCAAGTTTACCTGGATTTAGTGTTGAGAAGTCTGCTATTTAAGCCCGGCCTTGGGTCCAGGCTTGTTACTCGTCACACCCGGCTTGTTACTACTCAAGGCCGGCTTGTTACTCGTCAAGGCCGGCTTGTTACTACTCAAGGCCGGCTTGTTACTCGTCAAGGCCGGCTTGTTACTCGTCAAGGCCGGCTTGTTACTCGTCAAGGCCGGCTTGTTACTCGTCAAGGCCGACTTGTTAGGCCGGCTCGTTACTCGTCAAGGCTGGCTCGTTACTCCTCAAGTCCGGCTTGTTACTCGTCAAGGCCGGCTTGTTACTCCTCAAGTCCGGCTTGTTACTCGTCAAGGCCGGCTTGTTACTCGTCAAGGCCGGCTTGTTACTCGTCAAGGCCGACTTGTTAGGCCGGCTCGTTACTCGTCAAGGCTGGCTCGTTACTCCTCAAGTCCGGCTTGTTACTCGTCAAGGCCGGCTTGTTACTCCTCAAGTCCGGCTTGTTACTCGTCAAGGCCGGCTTGTTACTCCTCAAGTCCGGCTTGTTACTTGTCTCTTGCTGTCTTATTCCTTTTTGTTTATATCCATCATCTTATACTCGGGTATGCCTTTCTTGCTTATTTAAAATAAGATCTTTTAATGTAATTTTCATATACAGTATTTTGCAATAATGTATTAGTATACATTATTTAATGTATTAGTCTATCTATAATGTATTAGTATACATTATTTAATGTATTAGTATATCTATAATGTATTAGTATACTTTAATGTATTAGTATACATTATAGCACCGCAATATTGACGTTTTCTATGCAAAGGCCTACTGTAGATAGGCTTGACGGATGTCATGAATTGGTACGTTTCAAGGCAGGGAAAAAAGTGTTGTATTTTTAACGGAGTGGCGCACCGAGAAACCGGGCCGGTTTAGTAATAGTGCAGTAGCTATTGTTGTTGTGTATTCCTTGTATAACCATACATTATAACCACACCACCACCACCATCGGCAGTGATAACCACCACCACAATAACTTCCGCTACCACCACCACCGGTAATAATAACCACCACCACAATAACAGCTGGAGACAGGTCCTGGTGGAGGCGGCTGAAGAGGCGAGCGATAAATTGCAAGCGGGAATATTCGCTGTGTGCAGGATATTGGTTTAGAGTTGGGAGGGAGGGAGGGACTGAGGGAGGGTCTGGGGAGGGAGGGAGGGCCTGAGGGTGGGTCTGGGGAGGGAGGGAGGGACTAAGGGAGGGTCTGGGGAGGGAGGGAGGGACTAAGGGTGGGTCTGGGGAGAAAGGGAGGAACTGAGGGAGGGTCTGGGGGAGGGAAAAGAGGTACCCCACTCATAAACACCCTGCCTTCGTTCAGCAGGGGGAGTGTTGGCAGTAATTACAGGATTCTTGCGCGGATTATCTATAAAACCACTACCCTCGTCAATATATTTAACCGTAATAAATGTTTTACTTAAAAGATTGGATTGTAACTACCACATTGGGGGCCGTAAAGTAGTGGCAGGTGGACACAAGGGGTAGTAATAGGGAATTGTTATACTAATGTTCACGTGTGGTGGGGGTCGACCTCAGCTTACCTATCTGTGTCTACGGGGCGCTTTGTACACGCTGCGCTAAAATTTCTTGACGTTCTTGTTCTTTGTCGTATTTTCTCTTGAAGGTGTGGGTTGAGGTAGCAGCTGCTACTATCTTCTTAGAGGTGGTTCATTGGCCAGCCTCGTTGTCTATGAAAGGTTCGTTATTCTCTGCCCTTTTGCGTTGTCAACTTTCTTTCAATTTGAAAAAAGCTGCTTTTGTACAGCTGCTTTACTCCCCTCAGTATTTTGTATGTACTGATCAGATCCCCCAGGTCCTCTGGAGTTGTTAAATTGATTTCCCTTAAACTGTCCTCGTTGCTTATACCTGTTAGTTCAGGCACCAGCTTCTAAGGTCATACATGTTTAGTGCTTCTACCCCTGTTACTCACTTTTCCTTTAAGGCACTAACCTTGTTGGAAATCTCTGAAGTTGGTTAATCTTTGTGCTTTGCTCAGTGCTGATTCCAGGCAGGTTTTATACATTCTAGGAGGACTGGTATGAGGTAGGTTGTGTAAACTTTGTAGTATGATGGTTGATCAGTCCGGCAACCAGGAGGACTGGTCGACGACCGGGCCGCGGGGACGCTAAGCCCCGGAAGCACCTCAAGGTAACCTCAAGGTAAGGTATGGTGGGCGTGAGGGTGTGATCGTGGTGAACGTGGAGGTGTGGTGAGTGTGTGATGGTGGAAATACATGTAAGTGGAGATTGGCGTTAGGATGACAAGGAGATGGGTTGTAAGGTAATTAGAATTCTGCCCGTGAGATTAATATTTTAACATTAATTTACTAGTTACTGCGCTTCGATGTATTATGTCTAGCAATGAGAATGTCGTGTAAGGAAGGAATGATCTGATATGCAGGCGATGAGTCACAATAACGTGGCTGAAGTATGTTGACCAGACCACACACTAGAAAATGAAGGAACGACGACGTTTCGGTCCGTCCTGGACCATTCTTGCCTTGAGAATGGTCCAGGACGGACCGAAACGTCGTCGTCCCTTCATTTTCTAGTGTGTGGATTGGCCAATGATCTGATATTTCCTTAAGCAGGAGCTGATCGAGCCCGCGAGATACATACCCAGGTATTTCAAGGCTGCGAACGTTGGTGATATAGTAGTGTGCAGAGTAGCGATGTACCATGTACTATCCCCAGGAAGGTCATTATAGGGGAAGGTCATTACAGGGGAAGGTCATTACTAGTAGCGGGGGGAGGAGCGTCCTGGCATTTCCAGGGCGAGGCCCCGTCAACAATGGCTCCTGTCGCCCCCCCGGCTGCTTGTCAGAATTAATCAGCAAAGGCCAAATCACCGGCCGGGTCTGAGTGCCAGAATGCTGATGAAACTCGAGATGCAAATTTCCTGTCTTTAACGCAGGAAGCACGGGGTGACCTACGCCAGTGGTGCATGGGTCAGTATGGACGGATACACTGTCTCCTGTAGCCCGGCCACACTGTCTCCTGTAGCCTGGCCACACTGTCTCCTGTAGCCCGGCCACACTGTCTCCTGTAGCCTGGCCACACTGTCTCCTGTAGCCTGGTCACACTGCAGGCGTGTGAGCCCGGCCACACAGTGTGGCCGGGCTACTCCTGTAGCCCGGCCACACTGTCTCCTGTAGCCTGGCAACACTGTCTCCTGTAGCCCGGTCACACTTTCTCCTGTAGCCTGGCAACACTGTCTCCTGTAGCCTGGCAACTTGGGTTCATGTAAGGTGTTGTGTCTGATACAGGGGGTGATGCCTACTCTGGGGTCTTGGAGAGGTTGTGAGAGTAGGCAGGCAATTTTCCCATATATTCCCACACATGATACTTCACCACCACACCTGGTGGTGGAGGCTCATCACACACCTGGTGGTGGAGGCTCATCACCACCACACCCTATAAATATCACTAAAATCAGCACCATCGGCAGCATTACATCCAACATCACCATAACCACAGTACCCTACCACCATCACCGCCGCTACAACAACACCATCAATCACTACCACCTTAACCAGTACAACCCCTCACCATCTTCACTATCACCACCGACATGACATTCACCTCATCCACCACTTTCATTACACTTATCCCCACCACTTTCACAACAACGCCTTAACCACCGTCATCACCACCACCACCTTCACAATCACCATTACCACCGTCATCATCACAATCACCATCATTCCCACCATCACCACGTAGGTGAGGTCACAGGTGCCTCATAGGGGCCTCGTAGCCTGGTGGATAGCGCGCAGGATTCGTAATTCTGTGGCGCGGGTTCGATTCCCGCACGAGGCAGAAACAAATGGGCAAAGTTTCTTTCACCCTGAATGCCCCTGTTACCTAGCAGTAAATAGGTACCTGGGAGTTAGTCAGCTGTCACGGGCTGCTTCCTGGGGTGTGTGTGTGTGTGTGTGGTGTGGAGAAAAAAAAAAGTAGTTAGTAAACAGTTGATTGACAGTTGAGAGGCGGGCCGAAAGAGCAAAGCTCAACCCCCGTAAAAACACAACTAGTAAACACAGGTGGGGGCAGAGGCAGAACTGCCCACCTCGTCATGACCCGGGTTAAACAATATTTAAACT